AGCGAGCCTTCCAAAAAAGTATTGTAAAATAATATAAAAAATTTTTTTATCAATTGTGTAACAATTTTGTGACGTTCAACGTTTCCCCCTGTTAGCACAGATGCTGATATGTGAATCAGTAACCCGATATTCATCCTACATGTAGCTATTTTTTAGATTTTTTATTGCCGATATTTTATATGCTTGATATTTACCCTATATATATTTAATCTATACTCTATATTTATTTGACCTGTGTAAGTGAACAGAGATTATTTTTTTTAACCCGTGGATATACTCTCGGGATGCCGTAAGGCATTTTATTAATTTCATATATTTATTAATATGGAAATTACATCAAATTTGTTCTAAAACTACAGGTGTGTTCGGTGCAAATGTCAACCACTCAGTATACGTCTGAATAGTGCTTATTTATTTCTACCAAATATTTCAAAAGATTTTGCTTATCTATTATTAAGATACACCTTAGGATAATGAGGAGGAAGCATCTCTTAGGCTGATTCTAACTTTCAGATCATAAGGCACATTTGCGCCAGTAAAATGGTATTTAATATTTTCATCTTCTTTAACTAATTTTACATTATACTTACTATAAAATAGAACTGTCAAGGTCTTCAACCAATTCATCGCCAAATTTTTTCCAGGGCAAACTCTGATTCCACCACCAAACAGAGTAAAAGAATTACTAATATGATTTTCATTTAAAAATCTATCAGGATTGAAATTTGCATGATCATTCCAATAATCAGGATTGTTTGAAATATTTTGATGATCTATCCAAAAGCGGGTTCCGCTTGGCCAATTATATCCAGCAATATTTTCTTCAGTGCCTGAAATTTTTATTGTGAACGGTGCCGGTACAATGTAACGCATTGATTCCTTAACCACTGCTTCAATATATCGACAATTTATAAGTTTTTCAATGGAGAAATAATCATTTAAATTAGACCCAAAAACTTCATCGATTTCTTTACGAATCTTGTTAAGAATTTTTGGATTTTTTGCAACATTATATGCCATGAAAGCGAATACATCTTTGGTCTGTTAAATACAAGCAATATAAGTACAAATATATGTATATATTAAATACTAGAAAATTAGAATCTAATAATGGTCCGAAGCATAAATAATATTATCTGTTACACCAGCGTCAGAGCCGTCTAACATTGCACAGATATGCGTCACTTTGTCTAGAGTTAAAATGGGTTTCGCCACACTTCGGACAATTATTTATGTATAAAGAGAATAGTTAACACTTACCGAACCAATGCCACCTAATAGAACGTCCCATAAAACAGCGTTAACTTCATAAACAGTAATCGGTGCTAGATTGTCACTATCATCATTATATTCAGGATTTTGTAAAGTATGAGCCATCAATAAGCTATCTAATAAATCCGAACTTGGGACCGCACCTTCTTTAAATTCTTGCTTTCTTTTATCAACAATATTTATTATAGTATTATTAATAAAATTAATATTACGTTCGATTTTCTTTCTGATTGATATAAAACCAGGTACGTATTTCATTATAAATAAGGGGGCAAACATAGTAAGTGTAAGCGATTGAAGAAAGGAATTTGCGGCATTAGCTAACTCTAACGATTTTTTTTCTTCTTCTGAGGGAACTATTTCATTACTTGTGTCAAATGAAACTAAACTGCAAGTTGGTCGTTTTGTGATTTGAATAATTGCAATGTCCATCGTGAAGAACTTTATCCACATACTAATGTCAGTTTCTACACCATCCTTTATACTTAGTTTCCATTTATCCTCATATTCTTTGAATAGTTTTTGAACACTGAATACAAATCCTCGAAGGAAATTCGGCGCTAATAATGCACGAGATATTAATTTACGATTCCGGTGCCACGTATTATAGTCATTGTTAAAAAATATTCCATCTCGAAGTCCAAATTTTTCAAAGATACCATCAGGTCATTTAAAAAACGTTAAATTTGGTTTGTAGATTTTTTCAAGATGTTTAGCATGGGTAATAACTATATTTCGTTGACGGCCAATATAAAATTCCCAGATCGTGCCCGCCTTTTTAACGTTCTTTTGGTACCATGTAAGAGGATTTTTTCCAATTATATGAATGGTGCCTAATATAGGAATTGGTATAGGACCTGGCAACGGATTAGAACGTGTAAAATAGTTGTAATAGAAGTGTGCTACATATATTACAAGTAATGCTAATATAATGGAAGTCCAGTTTGCAAAATAAGAAATTAAGGTCGGCAGGAGCATTTTTTTTTTTATAAAAATCTTATTCCAAAACTAATTATATTTATATTAATTCGGGATGCACCAATTTAAATCTTTCAAATAAAGGGGTTTGGGTAATATATAAGCATCATAATAATCATTTATACGAAATAAATAGGTGTTAGGTGATGTCCATAGAATAACATATTTCTAAATGTTGAGTATATTTGCGCGAGATTTTTCATTGACATTAGTACAAGGCATAAAGCATAATGATTTATAGTGGGATTTTCGGATGATTGGCTAGCATGTTCTACTTAATTCTACTTAAACTGTATAATAAAGTTAAATAGCTAGTTATACGAAAGTCTTCCCATGGCCCTAAGATTATATAATTTAAAATCATAATTAGCAATCCGTGTCGGTGGCAGCAATGAAAATTTTATTACTTTCATTTTCAATATTTTTCAAAACATTAGGACATACAGAAATAATAATATAAGTTTAATAAAGGTTTAAATGTTCTTCTGTTACTTAGCAGATTAGATTGACTAATCTTAGGTTCTGTATCTATTCATCTGTTACCTTTTTTTAGGTTTATCGATTTCGTTCACTTATTTTAAACACCTAAAAAAGATCAAAATTCGGTATCGTAACTTACACAGATCAGTATGGTGTGGGCGAAAAGATTCGTACGGTATGGGGTATAAGGTACTTATTTTAAAATTTGTACCATGCTTATTTGATGTCATTATAGTTTATTATATAGTATGGCATATAAAGTTTTTAAAATAGGTGTTTCACACTCTTTATTGGTCTTCCATATTATTATACTGATCATTTAGGTTTAGATAGAGTTCCAATCCGGATAATTCATCATACATTTATCCGGATAATCCAAAATCGCTCGGATATCCGGGTAATCCGACAGGTATTCGCATAATTATCCGGTTATCAATAGTAAACGGATATAAAACGGATAAATTTAATAAAGATAAATTTTGATTTAAATTTAATAAATTTAGATAAATTTTTATAAGTTTATTCTTTTGTTTAGTTAAACCACAATAATGTAAGCATTTTTAATAATTCAATATTTAAAGTTTACCGATTATTTTAATGTTATAAGAATACAAGTTTGTAATTTAATTTAGTAAATTTCTAAACCTACTATTAAAATTAAAGCAAGTAAAATTAAATCCTTGCAATAAAATTTTACAAAATATAATTTCGATGTATTTTATTTCATTTAATTTCAAAATGTCGATCATTTCATTTCAAACACTAAATCGGGTT